CTGGGGGACATAGACCCTATGAGCATTAGTATTACTGATACTTTTGCTGTTGCTGCTGCTGTTGCTGGTGGGGCTGTTGTTGTTGGTGGTGGTGGTGATTGCTCTTGTCGCACTTGCAGTTTCTGTTGACTTCTCTCACTGGCTACAGTGTGTCCAGTGAGCTTGGTTTTAGACCTCGTGGGCGATATCAGATGTCTGTGTTTGGACAGTGTATCAGTAGCAAGTGCAATGTCTCTAATTAGTAATTAGTATATATATATATATAATATTATATATAATTTCAGTTTGCTGAGGAAAGGTGCCAACTGCCAGGACAATAGTGGCTACACCCCCCTCCATCATGCAGCACTCAATGGACACAAGTAAGTCGCTTGGTTTATCATAACCTATTTCAGATTGTCCTGTCTTTGTCATTTTACATCATGATTCATAGTGGTTAAATTGACTACGTCCCGAATTTTCTATGGTAAAATTTGTAAAATGTTTGTTGCCATTTTTTTTGCATTAAAAGTAAGAACTAACTATTTGATTAGTTTAACTATCTAACTATTGAAAGAACTAAATGTATCGTCAAATTCTTACCTGATAAGATTGTTTCTCAACTAGTTACAAATCCAAAAAACCTGGAAGATTTGATATTAGTGTTCCTGACATTGGGACACAGCTTGCTATGGGCTATGGCGTCACGAGTGTATGTTCACATCGAACAATATAGTAAAATAAGAAGTATAATGCAGCAATTTAACCATAAAAAGTGAACAGAATTACTTATATTTTGTGAAAAAGTGGAAATTAATTTTTTATTTTTAGCTCATCTGACATAGTCAGATGCAGCTTGTAGAATCGCATGAGCGTGCGTCCGTCTGTGCGTCCGTCCGTGTGTGTGTCCGTCCGTGCGTGCGTCCGTCAACAGTTGGGCACAAATCTAAATGGCTCGACGTACGGATTCGAAAGTCGGGACGTGGGGGGGTAATCCGAAAACGAGTTGGGATGTCGAAGCTGGGGGTCAAAGGTCAAAGGTGAAGAGGTGTAAAAGAAGGGGGAACATTCCATCCTTAACTTAAGGTATAGGGAGGAAATGCAGAATTGCGGCACAAATCTAAACGGCTCGACCTAGGCTTGTGATAGTCGGTGTATAGCATCATGGTAGGAAAAGCCATCACTGTGCCGAAATTGGAGGTCACAGGTCAAATGTCAATGGGGCACAGGGCAGATTTTAGACATTTTCTGAGGACATGGTCTGACGGAGCAATTGAAAAACTTTTTTGTTTCAGCGGTGACCTACCATTTTTATGGCTTTATTGAAAGGACCATGAAATGTACTTTCCGCTGACATGCGAAGAGTAAGTGTCGGATAACCTTTTGACCTTCAAGAGGAGGGTTAAACATTGATTTGTTTCTCAACTGCGTTGGCGAGTACCTGTGGTTGTGGAAAGCTCCCATTTTACAGTGAAATTCCACACATAACTCTTACTTGAACAACGCTTACTTAGGAGATAATGAGATGACTTATATATGAGATTCTGTAGTGTACATTATGAATAGTTGGAATACAGTCACTAGCACTCAAATAATTACCCAGGAGTGAGGCTGCGGATTTCCCAGACTTAATTTTCTCATCAAATTTTGGCACCAATATAGACGCAAGTGTGTACGTTCTTGAGCTTATTCGGTCCACTAATCACTGGCCTACCTTGTACTGAAATTAGTTTACAGATATTTGCCATCGTATTGCTGTAAATTGTAATTTTGCACGAGCTGCTCTGGTTGTATCAACCATTGAGCTATTTTGTAACGAGCCAGATGTGCCTCGCAAGGGGTTTAATGTACCTTATTACCTGACACCATAGAACGCACGTTATCTATAGTAATAATATGGTAATTATTCGCTCCTGCTTTTTGCAATCTGTCGTCACACTGACACCTGCCATGCTTTGGCTGACCGATGTAACGATGCCTTTGATAGCGGCCCGCCATCTATCGGAATTTTATTACACTAGTTTGAATACACTAGTGTTGTTTTTTGGGGTTAGAAATGAACGTATGTATAGGACGTCTTGCTATGCACAAATGAATTTATCAGCAGAACACCAGACACCAGATGAGCCCTGTCGCTCTGCGGCACTTGTTTACTATTTACGGTGACGTAATCACTTTAATTAAATGTACTTCTCTACTCAGACCACTGTGATTTTGTGATTTTGACTTTGTCTCATGTTTACACGCACCTGTCTAGATGCTATATATATACTGTAAAGTCACTTATTTTCGTGGATCCCAATTTTTGTGGTTTCAATAAAAAACACATGTTCGTGGTTTTTTAAATTCGTGGATTGAAATAATCGTAGAACCGGCATTTGACATCTGTACATCATATTTCGTTGGGAACGTAAGTTCGTGGATTGATAGACCCACGAAATCCACGCAAATTGGTAGCCTACGAAAAAAAAAAAAGAAGGAATTTACAGTACATGTTTTTTGATATCATGCTTCTTAGTGATTTGTAAGGCATCCTGCAACCTAAAAAAACGTGTATGTTAATATGAGACGATTAAAAATTTTAATTAAAATTGCACATGTTATCAGTGTAAGTTATCATGCTATCCTGCTCAGTTGCAGTTATAGTGACTGTGGCCAGTAGAGCTCATAGGGTCTATGTCCCTTAGGGTACTGCCGGAACGTACCCTGGGTACGGTCGGGTATACCGGAACGTACCCTGGTAACTATCTGATATGGTTAGGGTTAGGGTTACCGGTTAGGGTTAGGGACTAGGCGTAGGCGACTCCCTAGACTCGTTAGTGGAGTAGGCGAGGTACGGTCCGGCATATTAGATAGTACCAGGGTTCGTTCCGGCAGTACCCTGGGGGGCATAGACCCTCTCAGCGCCAGTAGAGTAAACAGACAACGTGACCTTTGCAGAAACGTTGTCGCAGTACTATTGCAACACGAGGCTTCAGTGAATACCAGTGACCACAAGGGGTCAGCACCTCTGCACCTGGCAGCCTGGAGCGGAAATCTTGACATTGTCAAGTTGCTGCTGATGCACGGACCCATCTTTGCGCAAGTCAGTCAGCAGGTAAGTCGTGCTGCCGTTTGTATACTGACCCACAAACTTCACACGTCCGTGTTATAGTCTCAGCAGTGGTAGCCCGTTCCGGTGGTGGTAACCACCACGTAGCTCTTCCTAGCGTGCAATGACATATTGTGAATTAATCCTGAAGTGATGTGATTTATGGGAGACTGCGTGGCTTTGATGCAGTGCATGTGGACGAGCATGTAATAAATTGAGGATTAGATCTATTACCAATGACACGGTGAGCACATGTGGTCACAGAAAAAAAACAGTAGGTACGGGGAAGGCCTGTATGCTAAATATATATATAGGAAGAGGCCTCACGTAGTGGTGATGTTATTGAAATGTAACTGTAAACCGAGCGATATCTACTGTACAGAAATAATCAGGCCACATGTATTTACCTTGGCATGATGCAACTTATAGGTAATAGCCTACGTTCTCATTATTTGTCGATTGTATTTTATTTCCACTTGCTTTTATTTCGCTATGCATTATTTCAATGCATCACTTATTAACGGGAAAATGTCTGTGTACCTTATCTACTGGGAAAGAGCCACATTGCTAGTATGTTTTTTTTTCTATAAAATAAGTATAAATGTACCTATTGTAAAGTTACTTTAATAATATAAACGACAGTAGTATTTGGCACAGAGAAAGTTTGTCACATAAATAGTTATCAATAGTAGATGATTTGGTGCAAACATAGGATATGCAGATTATGCACATCTTTGTACACGTAATCAGATTAGTAAAATGCATGGCCATTAGCCGTTTTCTCATGTTGCATTTCATTTTGGCATCAGCTGGAAGAAATAACTAGAAATAGTTCCGTTAAATGATAATTCAAAAGTGAATTTTGTATATTAAATTACAACTGGTAAATTGTAGTGACAACATCTAAATTCTATGGCGGTATTAAAACGAGATGTAACTAATATTGGACGTGTTTAGGGACCGTGTGACACGTTTTCCGTTTTATTTACGCTGTGTGGCTACATCAGGATGCGAAATTAACGGGAGTCCGGAGTCAAATACTCCCTGATTTACTGTCGGACTCCCTGATTTGACATATGCAGGAGTCCGTGTGACTCCCTGAAAATTCTGCCATACTAACTAGTTCGTTCCGGAGCACGGCCTCGCTGAATTACTGTATTTATTCTGCTAATGTCCTAACGAAAATTTGGCAGACGTTTGAATCTTAAAAATAAGCACATGCGTTATTGTTAATATCTTTAGTTTTAAACCTTAGACTGCGGACTCCCTCTTTTTGAGGGTAGGGAGTCCGTTGGACTCCCTTGTTCAAAAGTTAATTTCTACCCCTGCTACATGCTTCAATCTGTCTAGCTAGTTACGCATGTATCTTAATGATAATTGGCATCGAGATTCTTCGGTTAATTATTAAACGTAATTCTCGTGAGAATTTCGTCGACACGCGCAGTACATTTTTATTCTGTCGGGTGTGCAGTTACTGAAGCTGGCAATGCTCGTCTTCATTCTCGCGTAGAAGCAAAATCCCGTTTCCAGAGCAACGTCCTGTTTTAGGTTTCAGTGTCTAATGGTTTCGGTGGGAGAAATGCGAGCTTCCCGCCCTTTCATGTTTGCCTGCCAAGCTGTTTGTGGAATGTTTTGTTTTAGCATTGCGTCTACATGGTATGTTCGTTAACGTTACTTTATCAATTGTGCCAGGCTGCCAGCTAATGGGAGGGAGGTGCTTCACTCCAGTGGCACAGATATTTTAGGCTAAATCACAGAGTGTCAGACCTCCTCGCTGCATAGGCATGAGACCTATTCCGCCACAGCTTTGTTTATTCAGATAATTATCAATGCATACACTACAAACGATATGTAAATATGTGGCTTCGTAACTTTCAAGGTTGTATACACACAGAAAAATCACCAGCACATGTATCTATATTTACATTGTGGTCCTTGTCCATTTGTAGCAATCCTAACAATATCACACAAATTCCTTTACAACCTTTGGATGCGACTTTCTTTATCAACCTTACACTATAATTACAAAATATTTAGACAATACTGGGTAAATCTTTATAGTGCAGCTTTCATCATACGATAAGGAACTGCATATATACACTAGCGATAGTAAAATGCATTTTCCTCTGTCGTTTTAATCTTTCCCATTAATTTTTTTTCAAACTTTATCTTCGACTATGATAAATATTCCCAACAGCGTGGTATATACGGAGACATATCCCCCCATAACGTCAATAATCAGACAACGCAGCGGTTACGTTTTCCTGGACACTGCATTCGCACAACCAGTCAACCTATCTCCCATTTGATCTTTTGGACACCTCCTGGTGGGAAAGTAAACAGAGGCAGAAGACCACTTCAATACCTTGACACCGTCAGGAGTGATATTGGCCTCGAACCAACAGAGATCCACCAACTCATGAAAGACAGGAAAGCCTGTACCCAGCACGTTGTTAATGCTCCCTCTTCCATTCCGTTCACGGATGACGGATGATGATGATGATGCTGATAAAGCTCTGTTACACCTCCGTGTAGTGGCAGGGATCCAGGTCTTATTTGACTAATAGATAAAAAACAGCGTTTCCCAACCTTAGTTTGAAGGGCGTTCTCTAACCGGCCTTGGCTTTGTACCTGTTGACGTTCAAAAGTTAACGTATGTCGTAGGCATGGGGCTGTGATTATGTAGAATTTTAAGACCCTGGGTTACCCTTAAGTTAGTTACCTCCGCCCACGGAGTGGAGGAGGTTATGTGATCGCTCTCGTGTAGTGTGTTCGTGTGTTAGTCCGTTCGTGTGTTAGTGTGTTCGCGCGATCGATATTAGCGCGTCGAGTCAACAGCAGGCCAGTCAGTCAGCAGCAGCCAGCAGCGAGCGGCGAGCCAGCTCGTAACACATACATGTTACATTCTGGCGGAGGTATGCACTCTCCGTGAGTGCCCTCTGTCTAGTTGTATTAGTATTTACTCCGCTGCAACCCAATTAACAGACACTCAAACACACGTGATGAACTCCGTAACTATCTATGGTCAGCCCTAGACCCCCCCAGATTTATAGCTCATTCTATTTTCGCACACCTGTAACTTGGTTCTTGTTTAAAAAAAAAATCATGTTATTCTATATGTGCAGAGGAAAGAAGGAAAGGTTTAAGTTATCGATGTTGTTTTTCTAATTTTAGGGATGTAATTATTAGGGACGCATGATTATCAAGGACGATTCCTTAATCGTATTTAGGTTGCAGGGGTTGTTGCGATTTTACTGCCACAGTGGCGATTACCATGGTGACGAACAGTATTAATAAGGATTGCACCCCTGGCTTACTGAACGTCGAAACTCATTCCGCGTCTGAGATAGATTGAAGAGTCGGGTGTCGATATGCGAAAAAAAAATCTTTCAGGTGATAAGCAGCGAGGGGTGGAGAGGCAGGAGGGCAAGAGGAGGAGGAGGAGGATGATTAGCACGGCTGCTATTTCTGGCAATTAGGGAATACAGTAAACTATAGTGGAGCAGCAGAGAGGAGCATGGTCGGTCGGTGCCGAGTAGAGAGAGAGGGAGAGAGAGAGAGAGAGAGAGAGAGAGAGAGAGAGAGAGAGAGAGAGGAGGAGAGAGAGAGAGAGAGGAGAGGGGAGACAGAAGGAGAGGGAAGCAGAAGAGAGAAGGGAGAGGCAGAAGAGAGAGAGAGAGAGCGAGAAGAGAGAGAGAGAGAGAGAGAGAGAGAGAGAGAGAGAGGGAGAGAGAGAGAGAGAGAGAGAAGATAGTGCGATGAGAAGAGAAAGTTATATGAGAGATGGGTAGAGAGAGAGAGAGAGAGAGAGAGAGAGAGAGAGAGAGAGAGAAGAGAGAGGGAGAGAGAAGAGAGAGAGTGCGAGAGAGAGAAAGTGGCGAGAGAGAGAGAGAGAGAGGGAGAGAGAGAGAGAGAGAGAGAGAGTGCGAGAGAGAGAAAGTGCGAGAGAGAGAGAGAGAGAGAGAGAGAGAGAGAGAGAGAGAGCGCGCACAGTGGCAGTGCACTCGCGTATTTGCTTACTAGTTGCTACTTACTTGCTATACCGCTCGCGCGTGTATCGAGAATGGAGATATCGATGGGAAAGTACCGCAGTAACAAGCGTTTGCCTGCCCGTCTGCTTGTGGATATATGCCTAGGCCTGACGAATGTGCATGATAAAAGGTCTCTGTCTATTCAGTACGTGTAGGCCGTGTTTACATACCGGGGTCGCGATATGATATTTGTTGATGCGGACGGGCATCTATGGCGGTTGACCGCAGTGTGCTGCACGCGCGGGAAGGTATATCGAGCAATTTGCTCGCGAGTTCGCAGAGAGGTTGGCGGGCGCACGCCATTGCTTCCATTAAAGCCGTACAATGCGCATCCCAACGCTAATTTCTCCAGTACTAGGCTAGCAAATACTTCGTTTCATGCATAATCACACTACCTTATGACAAAATAAACTCTAGATCCTCCCATTTCACTGCGCGTTGTCTTATAAAAGGTATTTGAAAATACCTCCAATGTTGTTCAAATTCTCCGATGTTGTTGACAGTTTCGCGCTGCTATCCCAAGCAACCGTGCAGCGGTGCTGCGGTACAGCTGTACGGGTGTAGCAAAGATAAAAACATGTGACGTCACCTAACCACGTCGAGGCTAAATTGTTTGGCAAACAAGTCGGCGTTGGCGCCAGAATGCCAGTTTTCTCACCTCTTTCTTGTGGGTTTTAAGCAAACGCGCAGTGAAATGGGAGGAACTAGAGTTTATTTTGTCATAAGGTAGTGTGATCATGCATGCCACGAAGTATTTGCTAGTCTAGTACTGGAGAAATTAGCGTTTGGATGCGCATAGTGCGGCTTTAATAATCTGCCGGTGCGTAGTCTGTGGACACAAGAAGTGGTCTCTAGTTACGGGACGTATATGGTGGGTGGGTCACGCACGCACACGCACGCACGCACGCACGCGGGAGTGTAGATATGCACGCACGCGCGCACTCATCTCTCTGCTAATGCGTGTACATGCGTTGG